GGTATAGATACACAAATAGGTAAAACTAAGGACTCACAGGGCATATCCAGATAATGAGCAAAATACGATGATACATATGAATAAGTGGAACCAGGGTCAAATAATATAGAAGCCTCCCTGTGGCACACTGAAACAATACATGTGATCACTGCATCTGAAGCAACAACATATGGCCTGGCAGGAAAAGCATAGAATCGGGCCTGACCGCCACCTGATCGGCCTCCTCCTCTTGGGCGACCCCTAGCTACCTGACCCCCACCCCGAGTTGGCTGGGCGGGTGGTGGAATTACTGTTTTGCCGTCAGGCGAGAACTCTGTTGTGGAGCCCCACTCAATAGCCTAGGACACTCTCTCTTGAAATGACTAAATTCTCCGCACTCAAAACAACCCTCTTCTGACGGAACTGCTGCTCCTGATAACCCGAGGAATTACCTGTAGAAGCCTGAGCGGACAAGGCATGATGAGAACTCTGCGCTGGTAATGCACTAAATGAATACTGGCCTGAGTGAGCACCGTAAGAACTGTGGCTAGCTGATGCATCACGATGAGCTGGACGACCCGTCTGAGCGTGTTTGTAAGAACGTCCCCTACCGCGGTAAAATTGACCCCCTGAAGGAACACCGCTGTAATCACCTGGACCACGAGGCCTCTTAGCCTCCCTCTCTCCATGTTCCTAGCTACGAGCCATCTCTATCTGCCGAGCATTGTAAACTACCTCATCAAAAGTAGCACCAGATACCCTCTCCCTAGTCATAAGTAACCGCAGTTGATATATGAGGCCATCAATGAACCTCATAATCCTCTCCCTATCAGTGGGAACCAACCCGACTGCATGATGAGCCAACTCAAAAAATCTCATCTCGTAATGCGTCACAGACATACCATCTTGACGTAACTGCTCAAACTGTCTGTGCAGCTCCTCTCTGCGAGACTGTGGCACAAACTTCTCTAGAAAGAGAATGGAGAACTCCTGCCATGTAAGTGGTACTGCACCAACTAGCATGCGCTTCTCATAAGTCTCCCACCATCTGAAGGCAGTCCTAGAAAACTGAAAAGTAGTGAACGAGACCCCAATGGTCTCCAGAATACCCGATGTCCGAAGCATTTGTTGACACCTATCCAGAAAACCCTGAGCATCCTCTAACTCAGTACCTCTAAATGGTGGAGGTCAAAGCCTCTCAAATCTCTCAAGTCTCCTCTGCTCATCATCTACCATAACAGGAACTACCGGGGCCTGAGCAGCTGCAGCCGGCTGGGCTGGTAGTGCACCCGGTATCTGAAGTCCCTGTACTACCTGGTTTGGAGTACGAGCAACGGGGGTATGAGTTCCTCCCCCGGCCTAAGAAGTGGCAGGTGTGGCCTAAGCCGAAACCACCTGAGCAAGACCAATACAAACTGTCAATATATGGGCCAGAGCCTCCTGAAGGCCTGGAATCACAATAGGTGTAACTGGTGCCTGAGCTGGTCCCGCCGGCTCAACTGTATCCGGAATCTGCTCATGAGTTGGAGCAACTGGTGGTACTACAGGTGCTGCTCCAACAGCTGCACGAGCTATACCTCGACCTCTACCTCGGCCCCGGCCTCTACCACGGCCCCGGACTCTCGCGGCCCTAACTAGTAGCACTGGTGGTTGGCCGTCTTATCCGGTAGTACGTGTCCTTACCATTATGTGAGAGAATAGAATAACATAAATTTAGTTTCCGGAATCAACAAATTCGCACGACAAAATACAAGAAAGTGAAATTTTCTTAAGGGTTCTGCAGCCTCTCGCAGATAAGTACAGACATTTCCGTACCGATCCGCAAGACTCTACGAAACCTGCTCATGACTCGTGAGACCTATGAAACCTTGGCTCTGATACCAACTTGTCACGACCCAAAATTTTACCCGTCGTGATGGCGCCTATCTCAATACTAAGCAAGCCAACAATCTCAATAAACCACATATCCTTTAAATTTAAAAACATCATGATTAAATTCAGCGGAAGAAATCTCACAAGTACAAATATAAATACTCCCAAAACCCGATGTCACTGAGTACATGAGCATCTAATATGAATACAAGTCTGGAAAATACGATCCATAATAGTCTGAGACCAAATGCAGTAAATAAGGAGATAGGGAATGAGAGGCAAGGTTTGCGAAACACGGCAACTACCTCTGAATCTCCGAAAAATCAACTGTGCAAAAGAAATCAACACCCGTTGTAGCCGAGAACACTTGAATCTGCACACGAAGTGCAGGGTGTAGTATGAGTACAACCAACTCAGTAAGTAACAATAATAAATAAGGAACTAAAGATAGTGACGAGCTACACAGTTATAGTTCACTTTCAGTAATTCCAGCAAGAATAGACATGCTTTCAAATCCAGTAGTTTAAGTTCATGTAATCCGGATATAAAATCTTTCAGAGAATTTCACAACAATGACAGATAGCAACTAAGTGCAACAACAAATGAAAAGCAAGTACAGCCTCTCAAGGCAACAGTCACTCAACTCGTCACAACAGCTCAACCACTCGGCTCTCAGCCCTCAGCACTCATACTGAATGGGTACCCACGCTCACTGGGGGTGTACAGACTCCGGAGGGGCTCCTACAGCCCAAGCGCTATAATCTGCACGGATAACTCACGCGCTACACGAACAACTCACGTGCCATAATATAAATATAATATCTCGCAATCAGGCCCTCGGCCTCACTCAGTCACAAATCTCTCCAGTCTCTCGGGCTCTCAATAATCATGAAATCAGCCCAAACAACAATGATATGATGCATCAATAATGTACAATATAGAGATTGGGATAAAATAATCAAGTAAACTGTGACTGAGTACAAAAAAACAATTAAGGAGATAGTTCAACATGTACACGACCTCTGTGGGTCCCAACAGTACCAACATATAGCCTAAACATGGTTTCTAACATGACTTACAATCAAATTTCTACAACACATAGAGAGCACATAGCTAACCACAAGTTATTTAACTTTACAGTTTCCATGGGACGACCAAGTCACAATCCTCTCGGTGCATGCCCACACGCCCGTCACCAAGCATGTGCGTCATCTCCAAAATAATCACATGATATAAAGTCCGGGGTTTCATACCCTCAGGACCATATTTATAACTGTTACTTACCTCAAACCGTAAATTTCTTTACTCTGCAATATCTTTTCCTCGTGAATTGGCCTCCAAATGCCTCGAATATAGCCACAAATAATTCGATTCAGTCAATAAAATTTATTGGAATTAATTCCACAAGAAAATATTAATTTTCCATAAAAATCCGAAAATTAGCTCAAAAATCTCCCATGGGGCCCACGTCTCGGAACCCGACAAAAGTTACAAAATATGAACGCCCATTCAACCATGAGTCCAACCATACAAAGTTTACTCAAATCTGACATCAACTCGACCTTCAAATCTCCAAATTAACCCAAGAGGGTTTCCCAATTTTCCAACTTAATTCACCGATTAATAGTTAAAAACAACCATGAATTCGGGTAATTTAACCAATATTAGGTTAAGAACACTTACCCCATTATTTTTTCTAAAAATCTCCCAAACATCGCCTCTTCCCGAGCTCCAATCTGTCAAAAATGGGAAATGGGATGAAGTCCCATTTTTAGAACTTAAACTCTCTGCCCAGTCATTCGTTCTACGCGATCGCGAAGAACAGTTTTCCACTGCCCAGATTTAATCCCACACGATCGCGGTACACATCTTCACAGACCTATGCGATCGCAGACTGGTCCACGCGATCATGAAGCACAAAACGCGTGACTTCTATTTTCGCTCTACTTACTCTACGCGAACGCGACCTTCTTCATGCGTTCGCGAGTCACAACATCCCAGAGCTATTCGATCGCATCCCTCTTCACGCGATCACGAAGCACAAAACTCAGCAGCCCCAATTAACCCTACGCGATCGCGTCCCAATCTTCGCGATCGCGAAGAAGGTTTGAAACACCAGAAATCAGCAGCTACCAGCAATGCAAAAATGAAGGAAAATAATCCGAATACCATCCGAAACACGCCCGAGCCCCTCGGGACCTCAACCAAATATACCAACAAGTCCTAAAACATCACACGAACTTAGTTGAGTCTTCAAATCACATCCAACAATACTAAAAACACGAATCACACATAGATTCAAGCCTAATGAATTTTGAAACTTTCCATTTTTACAAACAACGCCGAAACCTATCAAATCACGTCCGATTGACCTCAAATTTTGCACACAAGTCATAAATGACATAACAGACCTATTAGAATTTTCACAATCGGATTTCGACCTCGATATCAAAAAGTCAACCCCCAGGTCAAACTTTCCGAAAATTCAACTCGCCATTTCAGGCCTAATTCCTCTACCGACCTCCAAATAATTTTTCAATCACCATACGGAGCTATTGAAATCATCAAAATTCAAATCCGAGGCCGTTTACACATAAGTCCACATCTGGTCAATTTTTTTTTCTAATTTAAATTTTTAATTATGAGACTAAGTGTCTCATTTCACTCCGAATTTCTTCCGGACCCGAACCAACTAACCCGGTAAGTCATAAAACAACTGTAACGTATAAATTGAATAGTAAATGGGGGAACAGGGTTATAATACTCAAAACGACCGGCCGAGTCGTTACAGGTAAGGTCTACGTACACACTACCCTCCTCAGACCCCACGGTGTGAGATAATACGGGGTATGTTGTTATTGTTGTTGTAAGATAAACTAATAAAATACAAATAGTTACATCAAATTAATGAAGATAAGATATATGTCTTGTATATACTTTTTTTAATACTTAACCATGATTTAATCCTATCATGGTTAATTGATAGGAGTATATATTTTGATTTTGATTTGTTTATTCTTAAGAGTATATACCGTATAGTATACTATACGAGGGGCGCCGAAAGCCACGCCGGACAGCAGGACACCTGTCCACGACGCCTGACTATCTTCATTCCTAAATTTCAGCTATAAAGTACAATTCCTAAATTTCAGCTATAAAGTACAATCAGTGCTACATTTTTCAACCCTTATTATTAGCACAGTCCACAAAGTAGTGAAGTGATCGAGTGGAGAGGTATGGCAATTCCCAATATGCGGATCCCTAGTCGGCAGCTGTTCATCGACGGTGAATGGAGAGAACCCGTCAAGAAGAACCGGTTACCCGTCATTAATCCTGCCACTGAAGAAATCATCGGTATTTGAACTTTTTAGGTTTAATTTCAAAGATCTCTTGCAATCTATTGGATCATCCAGAAATTCTGCTAAGGTTTTTTGACAACTTTTGGAAAATCAAATCTTTTTTTTCAAGATTTGCGAGTGTTTAACGGTAGGAAGTAGAATCTTTTCTGAAATATCCCTCAAACTACTAGTTCAGATATATTCTTTTGAAAAAACCTTTTTTGCTAAAAACTTATATAAGCACGTTTTCGGATTTATTTTTTGAAAGAAAAGTTCCACAAACAAACGCCTGGAAATGAATGAGTTCTTGTTTGATCCCGATTGTGTTTGTTGATGTTGTTGGATTTTCAGGGGATATTCCGGCATCTACAGCGGAGGATGTAGATATCGCCGTCAAAGCTGCACGGAGAGCGCTTGGTCGAAATGACTGGGGTTCTACAACTGGAGCACAGCGCGCTAAGTATCTTCGTGCTATTGCTGCTAAGGTTTGTGTATTCAGTTCGGAATATAAATAATTTCAAGATCTCGCTTTCGTGGACTTGAAAACTACCTCTACTAAATCCAAACGCTAATATATTATACAGTATTATTTTTGAGTGGAATTTAGCATCCGAGAATTATCTTTGCTTCACTTGCATTTGTTTAATTGTATTTTATTTTAAATATAAGATAGGGTCAAATTCCTAACTTCCAAGACCATACGGATTGTGTATCTTGTGAGCTCACTTAACCAAATATTTGTGCTTACCCTGGTCACATCAAGATCGCTCAATTTGTGTCTTTCAGCCGACGTCTAGTGACATCAACAATTTATATATAATTGAATAACATCCTCAAATCTTGGTGTTTGAGTGTCAACCAGATGTTGATATGTCTATCCAATATTAATCTTTTATGCTTTAAATGACAATTGCTGTTTTTTACATTTACTGTAGGTACTGGAGAAGAGGCCTGAACTTGCTACACTTGAGACAATTGATAATGGAAAACCCTGGTTCGAGGCTGCCTCTGATATTGTATGTTCTTGCTTAATGGGGTTAACATAGTTTAATTTGTTGCAAATTACATTGTTTTACTTATATGCTCTTTCTTATCTTCCAGGATGATGTCGTAGCGTGCTTTGAGTACTATGCAGACCTCGCTGAAGCTTTGGATTCAAAAAGCAAGACTGAAGTTAAACTTCATCTGGATTCATTCAAGACCCATGTTTATAAAGAGCCTCTTGGTGTTGTGGGGTTAATTACTCCATGGTAACACCACTTATCAATAATGGTTTATGCTCTTATTTTGTGTTTCAATCCTGTTGGAAAGATGGCATTCTTCTTTTTCCAACCAAGTTGATATTTCAGGCCACCAACCTCTGCATTGCACATACAGTTAGTGTATGTGGCTGCTACGTTGTTCTGGGCATATTGCAAAATGAAAAAAACTGTTGTATAGTGAGCTAAACTTTGAGCTTTGTGCTTAACTAAGATAGCCTTTTGAAATCCCAAAAGTTAGAGAAAAGAACATAGTTTGCAAATGAAGCTTATCAAACTAGTTATCGACTAGTTCAGCGTTGTCAGAGTTGGATGCCATCCTAACATCTGAGCGTCGAGAATGATAATCAAGTGGACTTGTGAGAATTATATGTAAGTTTGATAGTGACAACATATGCATTTCAGGTTCTTCAGAAGGTAAAATACCATTGAGGCGAAAACCTTTGGAATGTTGATATTCTAAGAATCTAAGTTATTTGGAGTGCCTTGAAAAAGAAGAGATAAATTAGATGAAAAATTTAGGAGCCTCGAGGGGATATTGGAAAGTGTAGATTGCCTCCTGAATATTTCTTTGCTTGTTGACCTCAAACTAGTTGCATGTGCCCCAAACTTGTGAATAGTGTGATGGGGTTTGCTAAAATTAGGCCCTCAGACTACATTTCCTCTTAACATCTCTGTTCATTGTGGGGAAAATTGTTGCAACGGAAACACCTTGTCCAGAAGGTGAACCTATGTGCCTTATTGGGACTCTGCCTTGACCTAACTGCCTCAAGGCAATCAGGATTGCCCGGGAAAGTCGAGAGGGGTGTTGAAAGAGTGGGGGGGGGGGGTATTCTTAAAGAGAATCTCTTTTAAACTTTGCTTATTTTTACCAGTCACACCTCATTAACAGTGTCAAAGATTCCTTTAAAACAACTTTTTTGTTTAAGTAAGGGAGAGTCGAAATCAATCTTCTGGAGCATTGTGAATTTCATTGGCTTTTTCATGTGTGGGTTGAGAGAAAAGATTAGGTGGTTGACTTATGAGCTTTTGTTTCATATGAAGGAATTATCCTCTGCTGATGACCACATGGAAAGTCGCTCCCGCCCTAGCTGCTGGTTGTGCAGCAGTACTTAAGCCGTCTGAACTTGCGTCTATGTGAGTCCTTATCTTTTTCTTCATTATTCATATTATTTGGTCTACATTATTTACATTTTTACTCTTTTTTTCCAATATCAGTACCTCTTTGGAGTTGGGTGAAATCTGTAGAGAGGTGGGTCTACCTCCTGGTGCCCTTAACATACTAACGGGATTGGGACATGAAGCTGGTTCTCCTTTGGTATCGCATCCTGATGTTGATAAGGTTTGCTTCTTTCTTTTAGGTGGATCTATGCTTATTGATCAGTCAGCATTTAGTACTTTGTAATTTCATTATGGTGAATGAATTTTATTTTTTTGGATGAGCAGATTGCCTTTACAGGAAGTGGCCCAACTGGGATCAAGATCATGACCGCTGCAGCTCAACTAGTTAAAGTATGTCCGCATCCGAATAATCATTAGGTTCCTATTGGCAAAACTGATATTCTGGTGCGTTCGGGTAGCTAAACCTTTGTTTTTTTTTTTGCAGCCAGTTACACTTGAGCTTGGTGGAAAAAGTCCACTAGTGGTGTTTGATGACATTCCTAACATTGATATAGGTTTGCTCTTTTTGACCCTATATGATAACTCCCTTCTAATATATATTATCTTTTCCTGGCATGTCTCAATTTCCTATAACATAATAAATTGATAATTTTGGAAAAAGGAGGAAATCCGTTTGTAAAATGAAGGAAACTGAAATTAAACTGGTGACTAACATATTACAAATCGATGCTCTAACACCTGAGCTAAGTGTTAAATGCCTTGCCTAAACTATTGGAATTGGAATCTTATACTACTTTCTATGTCCTTATGTTTTTCATATTAAGTCAGCTTTGCGGGTGCATTTAAGAAATTAATTTAGCTCTAAAATATAACTGTCCTCATTGTCTACACAGCTGTTGAGTGGACACTTTTTGGCTGCTTTTGGACAAACGGTCAAATTTGCAGTGCAACATCACGTCTTATAATACAGGTAACAAGCTAAATGTTGGACAAGGCCCCAAGTATTTAGTCAGTTTATTTCTTTCAGTTATTGGTTAACCAAGTACTTTCACTCGGCACCATTTACCATTATCTGGGAAATACTGAATATACCCATAGGGTCCTGTAGCCTTTATTGGCAACCCGCACTTCTTTAAGAATACAAGACAATTATGGGGGTGATGAGTATCTTAAGGAACAGATAATTAGTTTAAGTTGTATTTGTAACACTATAGAAGAGGCTCAAATAACAAGAGGAAGATACATCTGCCTTAGCTTTAATTGAATACAAAGAGAAGAATAAAGGCTCTAAAGTGGTACCAAGGAAATGGATCCACTAATTCGTTCTCTCTCTATCGTTAAGAATAGGATACTGATGACTGGCCTACTTAATTCAATTTTAGAAGACAAAGTCAATAGCCTGCCAGAGCTCTTGAAGGTTGGAACAGGAAGGGGGGTCATCCTAATGGCCGATTGAGCACATTTTGCATCTAACACTATACAGCGATAACCAGATAATACCTTATCAAAGAAAAGGCTAAAACAGCCTCCTTCCTTTTTCGTGTGCTACAACAATTGAAATTACGGTCTCAATTTGGACATTCATTAAATTACCCTTAGAAATTCAAAAGTTATTTAACTGAGCGTAAAGAGTATTGTAACAAACATATGTTATAATGCAAAAATTTCCCAGGAAAAAATAGAAGAAAGAAAACAAAAAAGTCATGGTCTTAGCATAAGTTTTTTTTGGTTTTCAAATAGTAAGTAGATCATTTTCTACAGGAATATCCTTTTTAAGAAAGGAGTAGGATGATACACTCTCTTATGAAATCAAGCAAGATGGGGTGAAACTCCTAGGTTTGTTTTATGCCACCTTATCAAAACACTGTGAAAACAATACTATTACAAAGTCCTTTTGATGTGTCCACACTGTGAAAACAATACTATTACAAAGTCCTTTTGATGTGTCCTTTAATGCTATCGCCCTTCCTATAATCACCAACATTGGAGCTCTTGGTGAAACCATATTCTGAATTTTGCAGGATACAATTGCTTCACAATTTTTGGACAGGCTTCTAGAGTGGACGAAAAACATCAAAATCTCTGATCCCTTGGAAGAAGACTGCAAGCTTGGTCCTGTCATTAGTCGTGGACAGGTAAAGAAATTATGCCATTAAACTAGTAGAAGATGCTTGCTTTAACTATAGTACAAGGTGCTTCTTGGAGACAATGTTATGCCTTGAATAGATGCAACTGTAACCCTTATCAAGGGAATGACTCATGAAAAATTTATGTTTCTTCGCTGCTCCAATGTGACGTGTGGAAGTGTCTTCTGGATAAGATATAGTGAATAGGATAAGTTTGGAGGATCGGGAACATAAAGTCATAACACTTTAACAGGCTGAGACTGAAGATATAGGAATGGTGTGCCATGTCATCAGGTAGTGTAGGGAAGCAGATTGCGTGCACAAGTAGAATAGACTCGTGGGTTAGTGAGTAAGGGGATTAGACTGGAAAGTGAACAATGAAAGAGCCAGCTAGATGCAGCATAGATAACTATGAAAGTGGATAGATATTAAGTGATGCACCCAAGTTAAAGAAAGGGTGACAGGAACAACCTTTCTTAGCGCTCTTTTCAAGCGCTTAGCTTCTGCTAGTCGCGGGGCTTGAACTCTCTTTTGACCTATTACCAGAGTTATACACTCTGAAAGTGGATAGGTGGTTTGATCGCTGTTAACTTAACTCAAACTCAAGACTACCACGGTACATAGCACTTGAATAGGTTCAGCAGTCTACACATCTTCAAGCTTGTATACACTCCTCTTTCGGAAATTAACTACACTTTGGATTGACCTCGACCCTGCAATATGATCTTTCTCTCAGATAAAGAGTGGTGTTTTTTCAATCAAAACCCATGATGCCAGACTTCTTTCTGTATGCAACGTATTGCAGTTTCTTATTAGATACTTGACCTCCAGCTCTCTCTCTCTGTCTCTCTCTCTCTCTCTCTCTCACACACACACACACACAGAGACGCATTCCATCACACTTTAGTTTGTTATCTACTACTGTCGTCATCTTGTTTAAAGGATTGGAGTCGGAGGATAAAGCTCAAGAAAAGAATGAAATAATGGTGATCGCTCTCGGAAATTTTCTCCAGTTAACATGAAGCATGGTTTTGTACTTGCAGTAAATTTAAAACTTCCTCTACAACCACATTTATAGTTTGGTTCCGAGACTTTGTAGAGCTGTTTCACTTTATGAAGAAGGTATTTTACTGCATATTCTTCAAGTCTCAAGGAAATAAAAAAAGATAAAAGAAATTGCTTATGGACGGTCAAGTGCCGTTTAGGTGATTTAACAACAGTGCCTAACAGAAAACATAAGCTAGATTGAAAAGCCACCATGTTCGTGTCTTATCTTTAGTTCATTTGGGAGGAATATCCCCTTGTGGCTGATATTTATTGGAAAACTTTGGTCCTATCAGAAAAAAAAAAGAGAAAAAAAGAGGAAGTTGCAAAACCTTTAGATGCGTTTCAACTTTGCAAGAGAATAGACCATATCTCTGCCTTCTGGAGACATTTGATAAAATGGAAATATCATGAAGTTTTATTCCCCTTCCACGAGGGTTATATGATAAATCTTGTATTTTGGAAAGTTAATTGGTCGTGTTGTCCAGAATATATTTTCAATTAACCATTTGCTAATTGTCACAGAAGTTTCTATAACAACACCATGAAGTAATATGAGGTTGGGGAAATCATATAAAAAAAAAAAAAAATCAAAAATAGAGAAATAATGATCATAATTCATATCAGTTTAGAAGTCTGAAGATACTATAAGGAACTCTTTTATCACTGAGATAAGCAGCATGATTTAAAACTGATATGGATATTGGCTTTCAATTTGTGTCTAATCTGTTTCTTTTCTTGCTTTCTCATACATGACGTGCAGATCATGTTTATCTGCTCGTTTCTTTTTTCCTTGTAAGCAGCACACTTATGGACAGTGCTTATATATTGATTGTTTGTTTACCTTTCAGTATGAGAAGGTCTTGAAGCTCATCTCAACAGCCAAAAATGAAGGTGCAACCATTCTTTATGGTGGCGAACGGCCTCAGGTAAGAAATGCTCCCGGTGCAAGTATGCAGGTTCTGTATTTATCAATCTGTTGGAACGTGTCTTAATTCCACATTGGATTTCAGCACTTAAAGAAAGGATATTATATTCAACCGACAATCATAACTGATGTGGATACGTCCATGGAAATCTGGAAAGAGGAGGTATTTGGACCTGTTCTTTGTGTCAAAACATTTAAAACTGAAGAGGAAGCCATTGAACTAGCAAATGATACCAAGTGAGTTGGCTACAATTATGGTATATGGTTCTGTTACTTTACAAACTCTCTCTTTCCTTATCTGCACTGTTTGCTCTGTTAGGTATGGTTTGGGTGCTGCTATTTTGTCAAAAGATCTTGAAAGGTGTGAGCGTTTCACAAAGGTGAGAGTAGTTTCTTCATTGCCCAAAGCATCTTGTATCCTTACCAAAAGACACTGCTTCTGCAAAATCAGGGATGATGATATCTTGTTAATGGACTTTGCAGGCTTTTCAGTCGGGGATTGTCTGGATCAACTGTTCACAGCCATGCTTTTGGCAACCTCCATGGGGTGGCAAAAAACGTAGTGGTTTTGGACGCGAACTTGGGGAATGGTAAGCACTCACTTGGTGATTTCAATACCATCTTGAACACATTTATGTGGCTTAGCAGTTACCTTACTTTCTGTTCATCCATATGTTCCGTATCTGCTTCTTCAAATTCTGTTTGTTAAATGGCCTTACATTGAAATTGCTGGAATGAGCTATGTTGTAGAAAGACAATCCAGTAACCATGGAAAAAACTGTAACTGTAGTTTTACCACACTGGAGGAGTAACTGGAGGGGAAAATATGCACCTGACTGAAGCATTCTGAAGTAATTTTGCAAGTTGTACAGCTGATAATGTTATTTTGCCCTTTGTTCTTTCTTGCAGGAGTCTTGAGAACTACCTAAACATTAAGCAAGTGACTCAGTATGTGTCTGACGAACCATGGGCTTTTTACAAGTCACCTTCAAAGCTGTGAAACTTTCAAATGGTTAAGGAACATGCAATTGTGTTGTGCCACTTATGAGAACCAATGCCGATGGAGAAGCAGAGATGAAACTTGATTTGATGTAGAAGTAGTGTTGTTTGTATTGTTCGTTAAGTAGTCTAATAAATCTGTTCGAAGGGAGAAAACATGGATAGCATTTTATACTGATATTGCCTTTCTCTTTTGTTTATCTCATGATTTAGAGCATAGTGTCAATCAAAATATGGGATAGTGTTATGTGATTGCTACAGCAGACTGAATATCCCTTAGTTTCATAGGTGGAGTAAAGCTAAAAAATCTTAAGATTCTAAGAATGGCCCCTTGAGGCCAGGGAGTCCTGAAAATGGCTAATAAACCACCGCAAATGGTTGTGATTGTGAATTATATACAAAAAACTAAGTAAATGCCGGTATTATGTTTTCCCATTATCAGTGATGATCAATGATACATTACCACGCTGCCATTGGATGTTATTAATAAGAAATGAAATGAAAAAACGAGTGTGATTAAGATTGTGAAACTTGGAAGTAGCTAATTATTATGAAATGAAAAGGGAAAGTTGTAGTCACAACTCACAACCATATCTTTTTTCTATAAACTTTCTGTTATACAATTCATTTTTAAAATTTTAATTTGATTGTAAATATTATAAATATAACATTTTCGTCATTATGTCGGATAATTATCTTTTTCTTCTTGATTTGGCTTTATCCCGAAGAAATCAGATAACCAAGGTAGGTAGAGCACTTTTAGCACGTGGGACCGATGACTATATCACTTCAATCGTTACCAATTTACCAATTCTAAGGAGAGAAAAAAAACAGAAAATATATCACCTTTTTGTCTTTGGTTCTAAGGCTGCTCAAGAGAGAACCGAGAAGACTCCATCTGTAAACTTTGGTAATTAAAATTCTGATTCAGAAAGGTAAGCAATCTTCTCACTTTAAGTTTTTGTTTTTGGTAGGAGAATAAAAGGAATATGCTTTCCAAGTTCCATTTATTACAATTGTTTCCACATCGGAACTTCATCTGTTCGAAAAATAAAAGATACTGTACTCCTTAATATCTTAATATGATTGAAAATAGAAGTAGGAGTACAAGGCATGTGAAAAACAGAGGTGGAAATTTCCTAGCCATTTTTTTTGTATTTGTCGCATATCCACCCACTTTCTTCTTTATTTTCCTTTTCACTAGATCTCCCTCCCCATTTTTTGTACTCATTTCAAATTTTAGAGCAATTCCTAACCCCCCCCCCCCTCCTGTCTCTCTATCTCCCATACATTCTCGCCTACCACACACATCCACTCGTACTCTACTCTTTACATTTTTCTGTCTCTGCTTGTGTCTTTTGTCGGCAGTATCACTTTCAGTTTCTTTTCTTCTAATAATTGAGTTGCCCTTTTGAGATTATTACCATTACTTGTATGTATATAGATGATATTTTGTTCATTGGACAGTTGAAGAATTGGAGCTGCTAATTTGGGCTGAAGCTTTTATTCCGTATATTGAGATCTGACTTCTGCTTGTGATAAAAATGGGAAGTTCTGAGGAGAGAGTTGTTGCTGTGATCATGGTCGGTGGACCAACCAAAGGTATGCACTTTGATTCAGTTTTGTTTCAATTATTTGAGAATAGTATAGTATAAAGTTTGAATCTTGTGAATTTAGAAAGCACTGCCCTGTTCTTGTTTTCGATCAATTTTCAATTGATTCCTTCGAGATATGCATTGACAGGTACACGATTCCGGCCATTGTCATTGAATATCCCAAAGCCACTCTTTCCATTAGCGGGTCAGCCAATGGTTCATCATCCGATCGCTGCTTGTAAAAGGGTAATGTTCCCTTTGTAGTAATGGCTATACACTGTAAGCATTTCATGTTCAAAGTTATAACACAATGAAAGAGGATTTAATTGTCAAATGGGATGTGCAAAGTTCCAAATTTTTCTTTTGCATTGAACTAATAAGTTTTGTACCATGGGGTTTTCAGATTCCAAACCTAGCGCAGATCTACCTCGTTGGCTTCTATGAGGAGCGTGAATTTGCGATATATGTATCTTCAATCTCGAATGAACTTAGAATTCCTGTCAGGTTACATTACTATCCTGCTTATCCGTGTTCTGAATTTTCTGAACTTTTCAATATTGGAGCTCATTGTTGAAACTTATTGTTGCTAGATACCTGAAGGAGGACAAACCACATGGTTCAGCTGGAGGACTTTACAACTTCAGGGATCTGCTCATGGAAGACAGCCCGGTTTGAATCTTCACTCTTCTTGATTATATTCTTGTGATGATCATGTGTAAATTCCTCGGAATGACTAACTACAGGATTAGTTATTGGGAACATAAAAATTGATCAAATATGGTCCAAAAAGAATCTGAAAATATAATTGGGGCTACTTCATCATCATACTTAGCAATTACCATTAACGTGGTTATTTTATCTCACCTGGCAGTCACATATATTTTTGCTGAACTGCGACGTTTGCTGCAGTTTTCCACTGCCTGAGATGCTTGGTATGTGCCTTTCTTCCCTCTTCTTCCCTCTTGATCAACTTCTCAGTAATACGGACCACTGCAGTAATTTAGAATTTGACTTTTCCAAGTTTTACCTTCTGCTTTGCTCCAACTTCGCAGAGGCTCATAGAAGGTATGGTGGGATGGGAACCATTCTTGTCAGCAAGGTAATTGAAAGTACTCTCGAACTGTTTGTCTAGGCCATTTTCTATTGGCTATTTCATAGCTTATTAACATCTATGATTGTGATTACTGCATGTTGCAAGTCTTATTTTTGAGTTTCCATATGCAGGTATCTGCTGAGACAGCTAGTGAATTTGGAGAACTGGTCGCTGACCCTGATACCAATGAACTGTTGCATTACACAGAGAAACCTGAAACTTTTGTACGTCCAGATCCAACATTTACTTACTCTTGGGCTTTACTTGCATAAACCAGGAAATATGTAGGTTTATACCCATGGTGTCTTGCCTAATATGACTGAATACAGGTGAGTGACCGCATCAACTGTGGTGTGTACGTATTTACACCAGATATCTTCAATGCTATTCAAGGAGTATCCAGCCAGAGGAAAGACAGAGGTTAGTCTACGCATCATAACTAGAAGTTCCCTTGACTATGTGTTTTCATGTTAAAAGGATTGAGATATTTGGTCCATCTCTTCCTTTGATCTCATTGTTCTAGTGTCATTTTGACCTTTGGCCGATATGAACACTAACATAGTACAATTGCTGAACTTAAACACAGTCGCGATTTACTTGGGACAATATCACATCTTCTTAATCTAATATGGATTTCAAGTTTCTTAAAACCCATGCAGCGATCTCAAGCAATAGTATTCTATGGGGTGATTTTATGAAGTCCTTTCTCTTCTTTTGCAGCTAACCTAAGGCGTGTATCCAGCTTTGAAGCTCTTCAGCCAGTAAATAGGTATAATTTCCCTGTCCAACTACATGTGATAGACATTTTGTTGCTACCTTAAGAGAATAATGATCTGTTTAATTTCCCTCTATTATGATATCACTGTTGGACCTCAACTTGGTTTCTAGGTTCTCGGTGTGTATTTCATTCTTCTATAATTGCTTAAAAACATGGTTGCTTCTTTCTCCTCGTCGTCTAAGTTTCACGCACTTATTTGGAACTATCCAGGATCCCCACTGGCACAAGTTCCAATCCAGATTTAACATTTATTTGACTGATTTTTCTCAGCATTTTGTTTGGTGGATGGTGAAATGCTGTGAAGCTTTATAACTGCAGTAACTGATAATTGCTTTTCAGGACAGAGTTCTTGGTGCGAGCATAATTTACCTTTAGTTTCTTATGGCAATATCAAATACTTTATCTTATTTAAATTGTTGAGGAGAATGCATGATGAGCAGGTTTGCAGTTGCTTAATCTTTAGTGTACTCATGTTGTCTTCACTGTCATTGAGAACTCCTCCAAAACTGACACCTGTCTTAGATCCTTGAAGCCCACACTTACCCCAAGCTTAAGCCATTTGTTTCGACATCTTCCTGATGTCTGCTCACAGTTAGTTTGGACAAGACAATGTACAAATGTTGGAACATTTTGAACTGTGGGGTTCTGCACCTCTAGCTTGAGTCGTGTTACCTGGTCTTAAAATAACCTCATGAAAGAGGCTTTTTCTGCACAAGGGTTGTATGAATAAAATCACCCGCTCTAGGTGGTAATACATTCTTGGCAAAAAATAGTCAAGTAGGGGTCTGCAGACTGCAGTTACTAGAGATCGATTACAGGTCTCTGAGTCGCAACTTTATTATTCATGAATGAGGTTTATGTTTCTTAATAGGAGCACTAATAATCTTCCCACTGAATAATACTTAGAATTGGAATCAATATAAAAAATTTAGAATTGGAAAACATAGTTTAGAGCTACCAGTACACCTGAAAAGGATGTCTGGTTCATTCTTTTCCTTTCCTGATACGAGCTTATTTCACAGGAGTCTTCCAACAGACTTTGTACGGCTGGATCAAGATATTTTGACACCTCTTGCAGGGAAGAAGCAGCTATATACCTATGAAACCATGGATTTCTGGGAACAAATTAAAACACCAGGGTAAGCCAATCACATAAAGTGCATATCATCCCAGCTTTTCCATTTCAAATATCAAGATTTGAGGTAATGGGTAGGTTTGTTTCTTTTGTAGGATGTCTCTGAAATGCTCTGGTCTCTACCTGGCTCAATATAGATCCACCTCACCACATCTTTTGGCAAGTGGGGATGGCTCAAAGACGGCAGCGATCAGTGGTGATGTTTATATCCATCCATCTGCTAAAGTTCATCCAACTGCAAAGGTTATATTCAGATACAACTACGACTAACATATTCTGATTATTATGTTATGCTGTAGATCTCATGGTTGATTAATTGAGATGAATGGTTTATTTTTTACTGCAATAACTTTTATGATATGAAAAACAGCAAGGATATTTTTTCTAGTTAATTGACGACTATATGTGTTTGCAACAATTAACACCCTCTATGTTATAGACATCTAGGCTTTGTACATGTTTGCAACACAGTTTCATGGTCATCTGTTTTGTAATGAATCTGATTCTTGGTATGGATTATGTCATTTATTGCAGCATTTTCTACATTGCCAAAGCTGCAAACTGTAACCTTTTTTCAATTAGAAGTAATGAGATCAAATCTGATTTCTGCTTGGCATCTATGCATCTAAAGAGCTATCTCTGATGGCTCTTGCTTACTTCCATCCTACCCCTCATAATTTTTTTTTTTTTTTTTTTTTTTTTCCGGTATTGTTCTCTCTTTTACATCAATAATTGCCACAGACACTGCAGTTGCCATGATTTTTGGATCACTTATAACCTCCTTCCGTCACCTATAGAATTGACTTGTCCGTTTAATGTTGAACAGATTGGTCCAAATGTTTCGATATCTGCTAATGCTCGTATTGGAGCTGGTGCCAGGCTCATCAGTTGTATTATTCTTGACGATGTTGAAATCAAGGTGCCACTTCACTACATCACATCTCATGAGATACTTCAATGACGTGTTTGAATTTAACACGGAATTCTTTTTCCAGGAAAATGGGGTTGTTATTCATGCGATTGTTGGCTGGAAGTCTTCAGTTGGAAGATGGTCAAGAGTCCAGGTAAATGATGGAGGTGGCAATATTCTTGTCTAAGATATCAAATACACTGTTGAAGAAAGATGCTTTGATGTGTGAACTCTCCAAATATATACCAATAATACCGGGAGAGGAAGTTATGATTAGTTTGTCATTTTGTCTGTCCTGTCAATATATAATGGCAGCTGGCACCTGGTTTCTTCTTTGCGATTAGGAAGATTACAATCAAAGGAAGAGCTGTCATGCTACTTTTTTCATCAGAATTATAGAGTCAAAGTTAGTCTGGAGAAAGTATTTTTCCGCATAAAAATTGGATAATATACTTGCAATTGATTACATATGATGATATTAAACAAGTACCAAGAGTGTAATCCAGGTACTGTATAAATAGAATTTTGTGATGGAGTAAATGTTAAGCTTGCCGGTAGGAAATCTGCTAGATTCTGTGAACAATTTAAATTTCTATGATGTCAGGTCTCTTCATTGAGAGTTCCTAAGACTGGCTTAATGCTGTTTTTTGGAGTCTATTTCATCCTGACTGGACGGCATTCCTCCATTCATTTGTTTTCTCTAGTCCTAGTCTTCACATTAGGTGTCTAAGCTAAATCAAACTGATTTCAGGCAGCAGGAGACTACAATGCGAAGCTCGGGGTCACAATTCTTGGTAATGCATTTCTTTTATCATGATTTCCTAGTTATTACAGTTCCTGCATTTTCAAATCGTCGATATTTAATTTTTAATTTTTGGGTTGGATTTTCTAATTCAAATATCTTGGAATCAGGTGAATCTGTCTCGGTTGAGGATGAAGTAGTGGTAATCAACAGCATTGTACTGCCAAACAAGACTCTTAATGTGAGTGTCCAAGAAGAGATCATACTTTAAATGCAATAAGATGAATTGGGCAGGGCTGTTTTACTCATGCTACTGAGCCATCTTTATCCCCATAGGCTTGTATTACCATTTTATTTTATGTATTGTTTGTACTTTTGAGTGCAGAACAATTTCTAGATTACAGATTACTCTTTATTTGTAATTTGCTAGTAAGAGACTGAAATAAATGATTCTTTTCTTTCATTTTTTGTTAAGGCTAGCCCCCCTTCCCCACTCAATTCATTAACTTTCTTTTAAATTGAATATTAGAACTTGTGGTTGTTAAGATTTCACCAACTTTCTTTTAATTGAATAATAGAAACGTATGGTGGTTAAGATTTCACCCAGATGTTTCGGATCTTTCTTAACCCGATTCTCAAAAGAAAAAAGTGCCTACGATACGTTCACTTCAAAATAAATTGTCAACGAGGTTATTTGCCATTTCTTTTCACTTGGAATGCGTTTGACAAAATTTTAAAGTTTATATTTGGATAAATATAAAGGTTCATTGTTATAAGAGAAATCAATAAGTTGGATGTCTACTCTTCTTCCATGATCTTCTCAAATGCTTAATGACATATTCAATGACATATTTCTATGCTTAATGACATATTCAATGACATATTTTTATTCATTTTTCATGCTTATATAAAGGCCTTGTAATAGATAGGAAAAACACACAATTGAAGAAGAAATAAGAATCTCTCTTCCTCTCTTTCTCTCTATATATCTTAGCTTGTTTTTCCTTGTTCGATATTGTTATTTTGAGTTATATTTATAACACGTTATCAGCACGATTGTCACCTTCATTTTTACAATCACATCCTAGTTGTGTTCGATTCTCCTTCAGGTATATCACTATATATTCTTTTAGTTTATGGTAATATATATGCACCAATATGCTATTTATTAACAAATTCATATACTGTTAAGCATTTATTTTAGTTGATCATGTTACTGGAGTTCTCTTACCTTGCTTATTGTTAAAGAAAATATAAGATATAGATCTTAAGTGCGTTAAACTAACAAAAATAATTTAATAAATATGTGTGGACTTGCGTAGAGCAAAACTTATCTTCAAGACATTCTACAAAAATAAAATAGTGATAACCAAGGTGACAAAGTAATTATTGTACATACTAGTTTAAATTACTTTACAATTGGTGGAAAGTAATATTTGAATACATTCACTCTTATCACCGTATATGGTTATTCCTCAAATCCACGTTTATAATAAATTACTTTTCTTTTACCATACTAAATATATCTCTTTGTGTTTATTCATATACTCCATAATTCTTGTTTATTTGATATATATATATATATATTATATGTTACTTTTTATACTACATATTTGAAGTGATCAACTTCTTAATTAGTTGTCTGATTTATTTTTACAAGTATATTTTCATTGAAAATTATTTGTATTTGTTCTAACCCATTTACTTTTGTGATTAGTTTCAATATGTCAAACTTGTCAAAGCTTGAATTTGTGGCACTAGACATTACCGGGAAGAATTATTTATCATGGGTCCTTGATGCTGAAATTCACCTTGACGCTAAAGGTCTTGGAAATACTATTATACAAGAAAATGAAGCATCAAATCAGGATAAAGCGAAGGCCATGATTTTCCTTCGTCATCATCTACATGAAGGGTTAAAAACTGAATATTTAACTGTAAAAGATCCACTTGAGTTATGGATTAATTTGAAGGATCGATATGACCACCTAAAACTTACGGTATTACCGAAAGCTCGGTATGAATGGATACATTTAAGGTTGCAAGACTTTAAAACCGTAAGTGAGTATAATTCGGCTATCTTTAAAGTAAGTTCTCTATTAAAATTATGTGGAGACACTATCACAGATGAGGACTTATTAGAAAAAATATTTTCTACTTTTCACGCTTCAAATGTGGTGCTACAACAGCAATACCGTGAAAAGGGTTTTAAGAAATATTCTGAGTTAATCACATGCCTACTTGTGGCAGAGCAGAATAATACTCTATTAATGAAAAATCATGAAGCCCGTCCCACTGGGTCAGCACCATTCCCGGAAGTGAATGCTGTAGCAGCATATGATAAGTCTGAAAGAAAATAAAATAATTACCGTGGTCGTGGACATAGTCGTAGACGTGGACGTGGCAGGGGACGAAATAATTATCGTTATTATGGTGGAAGTAAACAGGAGAACAATAAGGGTTCTCAAATTAATCCTTCAAAAGGTAAAATTAGTATGTGTCACCGATGTGGTATGAAAGGTCATTGGGCACGCATTTGTCGTACGCCAGATTATTTTGTCAAACTTTATCAAGCCTCCCTTAGAAAGAAAGAAAATAATGTGGAGGCACACTTGACCTTTCAAAATAATGATGATGAAGCAGGTCCCTCAAACAAATATGATTCTGAGGCACATCTTGCATATAAAGATGATGATTTTGGAGGCCTAGCAAATATTACTCATTTAGAAGCTGGAGACTTCTTTGAGGATATTGACTGAAGAACTAATCATCTTACTGGGAATGAAGCTATAATAAAAGTTGTCATTTTGTTATGTTTGCAACTAGTTTATTTTTCTTAAGTGTATTTTTCTAATATATCATGTGTTACTAGTTTCTACATTCCTAATGTATTTCTTAATATATATTTTGTTTGTCTTTCGTATTTCTTATAATATACTTTTTGATTTTTTTTTATGAAGAATATGAAAATTTCCCGGTCTTCAGTTGGACTCAAGATTAATAAAGATGATATATGTCTTCTGGATAGTGCTACAACACACACTATTTTAAGAGATAAGAGATATTTTTCTTATTTGGTAATGAAAGAAGCCAATGTTAATACAATATCCGGTAGAACAAGATTAATTGGAGGTTTTGAAAAAGTAAATTTATTACTACCAGGAGGAATAAATTTGGCTATTAAATTTATTACTACCAGGAGGAACAAATTTGGCTATTGATGAAGCATTATATTGTAGTAAATCTCAAAGAAACATATTAAGTTTCAAAGATATTCGCCAAAATGGCTACCATATTGAGATTACAAATGATAAAAAGATTGAATATCTTTATATTAATACAATAAAGTCTGGTAAGAAATATGTACCTGAAATGTTACCTACTTTTTCCTCCGACTTATACTACACAAGTATTTATTGGATTAAAACACATGCCATAGTAAATGAGAAGTTTACTAATCAAGATAATTTTATTATTTGGCATGACCAGTTGGGCCTTCCTGATTCTACTACGATGTGTAAAATAATTGACAATTCACATGGACATTTAATGAAGAAGNAATCATTGATCAAACGCCTCCAATTAATTGCTAGACCAATGCTTATGAGAACAAAACTTCCCATTTCAATATGGGGTCATGCTATTTTACATGCAGCAGCACTTGTGCGGATAAGACCCACAAGTTATCATAAAGTCTCCCCATTGCAATTGGCTTTTGGTCAGGAGCCAAATATTTCTCATCTTAGAATCTTTGATTGTGCGATATATGTTCCAATTGCTCCACCACAATGCACAAAGATGGGTCTCCAAAGAAGGTTGAGAGTATATGTTGGGTATGAATCTCCTTCTATTATAAAATATCTGGAGCCTATGACTGGAGATTTATTTACAGCAAGATTTTCTGATTGTCATTTTGATGAATCAGTATACCCAATATTAGGGGGAGAAAATAAGCAGCTGAGAAACGAGATAGATTGGAATGTATTATCAATATCTCATTTAGATCCTCGAACAAATCAATGTGAACAAGAGGTTCAAAAGATAATTCATTTGTAAAATATTGCAAATCAACTGCCAGATGCATTCACTGACCTACCAAGGGTGACTAAGTCACATATTCCAGCTGCTAATGCTCCAATTCGAGTGGATATCCCGGTAGGACAATTAATTAAAGCAAATAATTTTAAACCACACTTGAAACGTGATAGACCTATCGGTTCTAAGGATAAAAATCCTCGAAAAAGAAAAGGAGCAAATGATCAAAGTGATCATAATACGGAGGTAGTGACTCAAGAAGAGCACAAAGACATAACAAATGATAAAACCTCAAGGGAGGTTCAGGTACCTGAAAATGATAAGAATGAAGAGATCTCAATAAGTTATGTCTTAACGGGAAAAAGATGGAACCGAAATAATATTGTTATCGATAACGTTTTTGCTTATAATGTCGCTATTGAAATAATGCAACAAGATGAGGATCTTGAACCAAAATCTGTTGATGAATGTAGACAGAGAAATGATTGGCCAAAATGGGAAGATGCTATCCAGGCAGAATTAACTTCACTTGCAAAACGTGAAGTTTTTGGGTCTGTAGTCCAAACACCAAATGGTGTTAAGCCTGTTGGCTATAAATGGGTTTTTGTACGTAAAAGGAATGAGAAAAATGAGGTACAAAGATATAAGGCACGCCTTGTTGCACAAGGATTTTCACAAAGGCCTGGTATCGATTATGAAGAGACATATTCTCCTGTTATGGATGCTATAACGTTCCGTTATCTCATTAGTTTTGTTGTCCATGAAAAGCTTGACATGCATTTAATGGATGTGGTTACAGCCTACCTTTACGGCTCACTTGATAATGAGATATACATGAAAATTTCCCAGGGATTTAAAATGCCTGATGCACATAATTCGAAGTCCCGGGAAATGTTTTCAATCAAACTGCAAAGATCTTTGTATGGTCTAAAGCAATCAAGTAGAATGTGGTATAACCGCCTTAATGAGTATTTATTAAAGGAAGGTTATATAAATGATACCATTTGTCCATGTGTTTTTATAAAGAAAACAACATCAGAGTTTGTTGTACTTGCTGTATATGTTGATGACATAAACCTTATTGGAACTCCTACAGAACTCCAAAAGGCAATTGATTATTTAAAGAAGGAATTTGAGATGAAAGATCTCGGAAAAACAAAATTATGTCTTGGTTTGCAAATTGAACATTTGGCAAACGGGACTTTTGTTCATCAATCTGCCTACATAGAAAAGGTATTGAAACGGTTTTACATGGATGAAGCACATCCATTAAGTACTCCGATGATTGTTAGATCACTTGATGTGAATAAGGACCCGTTCCGACCTCAAGAAAAGAATGAAGAACTTCTTGGTCCTGAAGTACCATATCTTAGTGCAATTGGTGCACTTACGTATCTTGCTAACACTACAAGGCCTGACATAACTTTT